GTCAAATAAATAAAATCTTAAAAAAAAAAAAAAAGGAATATGAGGTTTATTCAGGAGGCTGGCCACTTGGGAAGGAGGTGGAGTCTTGTCCAGAAACCAACTCTAATGTTTCTTGTACCCTTCATCATACTAGACTCATAAATAATAGCTGTTTTATCTGTATCACTCTATGTGTTTGTGTTGATAGTGTGAATAAAAGACAGAAGCATCATCATCCACAACATGATTTATAAGTGTCATGTCACTGAAAATGGTTCTTGAATTAATCACCATGACAATTTTCTACTCATTCACTTTTAATGTGTATGTAACCACTTCCTAAATGTATGGATGGGTGCATGAAACGTAAAAAGATAGATCAAGTTTGCATGGATAACTTTTTTGTTTCCATCATTCTTGTCATGTTTGACACCTGCTATGAACAATGGTTTAGAGTCCTCTCTGTATATTGACCTGTGTGTCCTTTTCAATCAACTCTGGGACGGATAACTGGGTTAAAACCTGATCCCTTTGCACATTAGGTAAATGAGGTTTGTGCTTCTCCGTGGGTGGAGAATTTTAGTATTATAATGAGATAAAGGTAACTGTAGACCACTCCATGGGTTACACCTTGGTCCCTCTGCCTCAAACTGGGCCAGCCCAAGCACTTCCCCTGGGCAGTCATTACCTTTTATTGGATAGTTTCTGTTTTCACCACAGGAGACTCTGCCCATGGGGTGTTTTGGTTGAAGTAAGGGATAAGGTGGAAAGAAGAGGTTAAGTCAAGTGTGGGATAAAGTTTGGTGGGTACAATCAGGCAGTGAAGGCCAGGTCTTGGGTCTGGCTGGTGACACTAACTCCCTCTTTGATCTAGGGGCCATTATGAACCCTGCCTATGGCCACCTGGTGACTGTGGTATTTATTGCAGGCACTGCTGACATTCAGGGATGTGGCCATAGAATTCTCCCAGGAGGAGTGGGGATGCCTGAACCACACTCAGCGGGAACTGTACAGGGATGTGATGTTAGAGAACTACGGACACCTCCTCTTCCTGGGTGAGAATAACTCCTTCCAGATTTCCCAAACCACATTCAGGGTTTCGTTCTCCCTTTGAAGACTGTCTCTTGGATGATTCTTCTTTGCACAACTGGAATTCAGATCACTGCACTAAGGAACAAAAGTAAGGATTTGTAGATGTAGACAAAAATCTTCCTGATGTTTGCTTTTCAGCTTTAGCTCCCCCTTCCTTAAGGTAACATCATTTCTGCAGATTAGTGGCAATGCTAAACCTGGAGTGGCATAAAATGGTACTGCCCACATTTAAACTCCAATTTTTAGTCCTTATTATTGCATCGGTAGTACTTGGAAGTGCAAGTTAGGATGCGAATATTTGAAACTCCTGCATGTTCTAAAGGGGCTGTTGGTCAACAGTGTTTGGGATGGGAAAATCATCTTTTAGAATTCTACAGTGTTCTGTCGTCTCTGCTGAGCACAATAGTGGATTGAAAGAATCTCCAGCAATAGTTATATTCCGTTTTTCTATTAAACAGGTCTCATTGTGTCAAAGCCTGATTTGGTCTCCTTTTTGGAGCAAACGAAGGACCCTTGGGATGGGAAGAGAAAGGAGACAGTAGCCTTTCATCCAGGTAGGTGGGAATGAATGAAGCAGATGCCAGAGGTGAGGTCCAAGTCTGAAGGAGGAAGGTAGACCTTAAAATGTGGTTCCAGTCGCTCTGC